GCTTTATGCAAAATGAACGGTTTCACTAACATTCTTCTCTCTCCCTTTGAAGTTAAATGAACTGGTTGTGGGAGACACCAGTGGAAAGCTGTCTGTGTATAAGAATGATGACAGCCGGCCGTGGCTCACCTGTACCTGCCAGGGGATGGTTAGTATTCACCTCCTTGGGTCTTGGTGGAAAGGTGGGGAGAGGATCCCTTTGGTGCAGGAACTGTGAAGGGGAGGTGCACTCCAGAGCACCCCCGTTTATCCTGCTCTCCCAGCTGCTCAGCCCAGCCCTGCTTGGAATTTATTTGACATAAGCCAAGCTCACATCCCTCTATACAAGGCTGGCTGTGCTTTATGTAGTGGGACTCCCTGGTGCTTTACAGAAGCGGCATAAGTTTGTCTGATTCTATAAAATATAGTCATGTGTCACGTAAGAGCAGGGACCTACTCTGAGAAATACAGTTAGGCTCTTTCATCACTGTGTGAACGTCGTAGAGTGTACATTCTAACACAGCTAGTAAGGACTAGATGATATAATCTTATGGGCCCCTCTCATACATGTGACTATTTGGTGACTGAAACAGTGTTATGAGATGCATTGCTGTACGGTTAGAAATGGAAGTAATAATCGGAATAACTCTAGAAATATGATAGTCTAGCTATATAAGATGTAAGGATTTTGTTTTATTTTGTTTGAAGCTCAAATTATCTCACTCACCTCACATTTTTCATATTACTATGTGGGTAAACCATAGCACAATAGCTGGTTTGGTAAAAACTATCAATATAGATCACATAACACAAGTTTTCAGCAAATGATAGTAACTAGGAAACCTACTCCATCTTGCTTTGCAGAGATTAGAGGGAACTGTTCTCCCTATTGCTCCCTGAGCCTCCTTTTCTCTCTTGCAGTTGACTTGTGTTGGGGTTGGAGATGTGTGTAATAAAGGAAAGGTAAGGACTCCAGGGAATGTTGGGCTTTGGTCCAATTCCGCGGCCTTCTCCCCTCCCTGTCTGCCAGTGGGAGCCAGCCCCGACCTCTGAGCTCTAATTACCAGCCTTCTACCCGACCTCCCTATCCAGCCCACTCCATCTCTCCTGTCCGTCTTTTTCCTAGAACCTGGTAGTAGCAGTGAGTGCTGAAGGCTGGTTTCATTTGTTTGACCTGACACCCGCCAAGGTGCTGGATGCCTCTGGACACCATGAGGCACTAGTGGGAGAGGAGCAGCGTCCTGTCTTCAAGCAGCACATCCCAGCCAACACCAAGGTCATGCTGATCAGCGACATTGGTGGGCATGACTGCCTTTGCAGACAACCAGGGCCACAGAGCCATTAGGACAGATCTCAAGGGTTGGGAGAGGATCCATATTCATTTGCATATTTGTTGTTTATTTAATGCCAAGTTACTGAGCTCTCATTGTGACCCATGCATTGATCTAGGCACTGAAATTATAATAATGAATGAAACAGACAAAAATAACTGTCCCTCTTAGACTTGACTTAAGACAGGAAAAAATATATATAAATTTTGTAAGAAAATTAAATAGTTGGGCTGGGGCTGTTGCTCAGTTGTAGAATATTTGCCTGGCATGCATGAAGCTTGAGGCTATATCCCCAGGACAGGAAAAAAAAATTAAATAGTATATTAGAAGGTAATAAGTGCTACAGAAAAAAATAAGGCATTGTCAAAATAGAGGTAGCAATTTTAAGTGGAGTTGTCAAGCATGTCCTTGCTGAATAGGTAACATTTGTTAGGAACCTGAAAGTGGCAAGAGAATGAGCTCTCCAGACACAGGGCTGCTCTTTGGATCAGAAGCTGTCTGTAAGTGGTGGAGGTGTGTGGATGAGTCAGGCCCACCGAAGAATAAGTAGGAGAGTACACGCAGTGAGACTTGTAGGATAGGGGGACGAGTAGCTGTGTGGGCGCAAAGAAAGGTTGAGGCAGGCAGCAGGTACAGAAGGCGGGAGTAGCATAAAAGACTGGACATGATGCTACACCAGATAAAAAAGTGCCAGCAGCAATGACAGTGGCAGAGGAGAGGAAGATGCTTGTGGTCCACAAGGAGACCAGTACAGATTTGGCTCCAAATGCAGCTTGTTCTCTGTTCCTGCAGATGGAGATGGGTGTTGTGAACTGGTGGTAGGACACACAGACCGTGTGGTGCGAGCCTTCCGCTGGGAAGAGCTGTCGGAGGGCACTGGACACCTGACAGGACAGCTGGTGTCCCTCAAGAAATGGATGCTGGAGGGCCAGGTG